GGTGAGGGGAAGGAGCGCCCCAGCCCCCCACTTTCCAAGGCTGAGGTGCAGCTGCAACCCCATGCAAAGAAGGCAGCAGAAACCACATCTGAGCAAACGCCCCGTGGCCTTGGTGTTTTGAGAGCACGGAGCCTCGGGACGTGGACAGGGACCTGTGTTCTGCTCCCCAAGGATGACCAGGTCCCCTGCACAGCCCCTAGGACAGATCTGCTGAGCACCGAGGGGTCGGGGCAGGGGAAGCAGCCTCGACAGGGCTGCCCAGCGCAGCCCTGGCCCCACATCTGAGCTAGTGGTCATCCTCACCGCTTGCTGCCCTGAAGCCAGGGGTGCAGGGTTCCCTCATGCTGCGAATGCCTGCGTGCTGGCTGGGCTGGGGCTCCCCCCCACCCCGGTCGCTGGCAGCACCGCAAGCCCCCAGGGTTGTGGCCCAGGTGGTGCCTCTGGGGAGCCCTCCAGGAAGTGACACTTTCCATTTTGCATCGCACCTGGCTGACAAAGAGGGCTGGGAGAGGGTTGCCACTTCCGCCGTGGGGCGCAGAGCGACAGACCGAGGGAGGGATGGAAGAGGGGGTCACATACGCCGATCTCCGCTTGCCCCGCACACCAGGTAATGAATGGCACACTGCTCCCTGCCCCTGACACCCCAGCTCTGCTGACGGGTCCCCTGCCCTCCTGCAGCCCCTTGACCTCTGCAGGGCTGTTCCCCCAGCTCTGCTCCCCCTGCTCCCTCCTTTTGGGTATCCTCTCCCAAACAGCTCCTCTGCAACCTTGTTGCAGACTGCCGGCTCTTGGGGTGGGGGGCAAGAGGAGCTCAAGGGCAGGGGATGCCCACTGCACCCCAGTGCCACAGCACACACAGGCACCCCCTGCTCTGCTCTCCCGTCTGTGCCAAGCGCTGTCTGCAGGGAGACAACTTCTAGGAGGGTCAAGGTGCTGCAAATGGGCTCTCCCTCAGTTTTCCTGGGCTCCCCTGCTGCCTCCTGAGTCCCTGCCCAGGGTTCACAGACCTTTCCCAGCTGGGTGGTCCCCACCACCCCCACTGAGCCCCAAGACTGAAGCTAACTCACCTTCTCAGCTCCTCAGCAGCCGGTGCGGCTGGCCCGGG